ATCCTTTATTATTCCCTTTTTATTTCTTTGAATGAAGAAGCCGAATTTTGCCAAAGCACGCTTTATGGTGATACTTCTAGCCATACACATACAACTTTCCAAATAGAAAAAACAAACAGAAGCCATCCCTCCCACAACCGTGTCTTTACCATTTTCTTTGGTGTCCCTCCTTTCCCTCCTACAGTGCTCCAGCAGGGAAAATATTGTAGTCAGTTTGCTTTGTTATCTGCTAAAGCATATTACAAATATTTTCCCTTTCCCAAACTTAGACTGTCACGTTGCTATCTCCAGTTGTTTCGGTGCTAAGGAAGTAATGCTTGGGCCACGCTCTGAGCAGGAGTTAGCCAGGTGAAGGGTAGGGGCAGAAGCACAGCCAAAGAGGGTCTGCTCACCCCTAAGGTGAGAAAACGTTCAGTATTTTCAAGCAACTGAAATAAGACCAGGGTGGGTGGGGCATAGCCCAGTGCGGGCCCAGAGACTGCACAGGAGGTTGAGTAAGTAGGCAGAATCTTGTAGGTCTCCATAAAGATGTGGGTCTTTATTCTCACAGAAATGGGAAGCCACTGAAAGGTATTAAGCAGAGAAGTGATAGACCTGATTTAAAATACCACTCTGGTTGCAAAGTGGATAATGGACTGAGAGATAAAGAGTAGCAGTGCAAAGACCACTTAGGAAGCTACTGACTTCATACACGCCAGACTGGACAGTAGCACGCAGTAGGACTGTGGACAGCAGATAAAGAGAAATGAGTGCAGATTAGAGTCAACATGACTTGGTGATGGGCTCAACAGGTTAGGGGGAGATGGACGAGGAAGAGGAAGGGGCTAAGTATGACTTTGGGTTTCTCTGCCTGGAGTACCCAGAGGACCAGAGGCATGACTTATTAAAATGCAGGGCACTGGAGCGGGCAGAATGGGAGTGGAATGGGACATGAAGAGTTTGGTTTTGGACATGTTAAGACTGAGATCTCTGTGCCATATGCAAGAAATCAAGTGGTCAGTTGGTGATACAATCTGAAGTTCACAAATCAGGTCAGGCAGGGCTGGAGAGATAACTTGTGAGCCACTGATCTAGTCTTAAGTATTAATAGCATTTGAAACAATGGGGATGGAGGAAATTACCTCGGTAGCAGGTAATCCTTTACCAACACATAGAGACAATTGTCAAGCGTCTGCCCCTGCAGACAGTTGTAGGCAGACAGCTACAACCAGAGAACAACGGGAGCTCCTTCTCCAGCTTCTCAGTTTTGTGCTACAGAAGGCTCTTGCTGTGACATTTTCTTTTTCCATCCCCCCACACCTTGTTTCAGAGCCAAAAGAGCTGAAGAGGACAATGTCAATACAAATTTCTGACAGAAAAGTTTTAAGGGAGAGAATGTAATTTGCATTAAAAATAAAAACAGAACAAAAAAGCCCCACAAAAAGCTAAAGAGAAAGTTTACTAAAATAATTCTTAACCATTGCCTTTCTATTCTTATCTTCTCAGCAAGGTCTTATCACTCCAACTTTGCCTCAGTGTATGTTCGAGCTTTGTTTTTTCATTCTGCAAATATTTGCTTCATTCATTGTGTGTGGATACCTGTATGTTTATGTATGTTTATATGCATGTGTTTATACATATGTTTTTTATATACACACAGTCTTTTTCTTGCATGTATGCTTATTCATGGCAAAGGAGAGGCAAACTTCTAGAGGGCAGATACTACCTAGAGAAGCTGGTATAATACATTAATCAGTAGCTACTCAATAAATATTGCTGTTTGCCAAGGACATCAGAAGTTACACAGATATGTCGGATATAATGACCCTTACATTTACTTTTTTTTTTTTTTGAGACAGAGTCTTACTGTGTTGCCCGGGCTAGAGTGCCGTGGTGTCATCCTAGCTCATAGCAACCTCAAACTCCTGGGCTCA